AGCTCCTTATGTAAGTTTAAATCATGTGTTTAGTCTGTCTTTGATTTGTGTTGGTTTCATTTTGAGAGAGCTGTCCACCCCTACCACAGCCCAAAGCCCTTTGAAACATATATTTCCAATGAACAGATAGATATTCATCCCTAATAAGGCTCCTGTGGGTATTGCTGTAGGATAAGCACTGGATGCTAACCTAAGTCAGTGGTTCAAACCCACCAGTCACTCCTGGGAAACCTTATACGGGGTCACTATGAGTTAGAACTGACTGAACAACACCTAACAACAACAACAACAATTATGCTGCACTTACTTCAAGAAGCATATAAAACACAATTTCACTTTAAAAAATGAATATAAGCTTCCAGACTGTATTTTAAACCAGTATTAAAACCAGTATTAAAACAGAATTTTAAACCAGTATGTCACTGAAATTAAAATATGAAGATGTATATCTGATTCCTAAAGATATTCAGGGACATTGGAGAGGAAATGTTAGCCATCTTATTCCATCTTGTTTATTGAGAGGTATAGATTTGAACAAAGTTTGTAGTGAAATAAGTGAAAATAAGTGAAACTTAGTTGTGGAAGCCCAGAATTGGAAGAGTAGCATAGAAAATGAGACGTTTCGTACTTACAGCTTCTCAATGGGTAACTCCATGTCAGAACCTCTTATTTTCATGGTATTTGTCCATGTTTTCAAAGACTACTAAGTAAAATGCAGTGTCCTTGAAAGTGAATGAGAGTAAGGTCAAAGGCAAAAGTAAATATATACAATAGGAGCTATTTGGTTCTGATGTAGTTTCTGAGGTAAGGCAGTGACCTACAGGCAGTTCTTTCAAGACTAATGACTAACATGGAGAAGAATGAAGCTCATAGCTAGAAAGAGACTTGGAGTAGAAGACAACTAACTAAGATGAACCTTAGTTTTCTGGATTGGAAGATGAGGTAAATGATGATTTCATTTACAGAAATTGTGGACTAGATAGCCAACTGTTGCGAGGGCTATGAAGGAATCCACGTTAACAAGGGCATAACTTCAGGTCCACTGGACAGTGCGGTCTTACATCTCTTTTGGTATTTGGAAATTTGGTTGAGCCATAGGGATTGAGAAATCCCCCAAGATCCTTGGATAATTGGAGAAGTGATTGGTCTTAAGATCAAGCTACTAGATCTTAAGTTGTTGCTCTAGAATTAGTTCACAAATCAAGCATTTATTACTTAAAAGAGTGAGCTAGTGGCACAAAAACATGTAAATTAAATTATCTTTTGATCATGTTGAGTTCTGAGTGTCTACTGAAAATCCCGGAGTTCTGATATGGCACTGTGGGCTAATGCGTCAGACTGCAAAGTCATTTGAACTACAGAGTCGGTGGTTCAAGCTCACCAGCTACTCCTTGGAAACCCTGTACAGGGTCGCTATGGGTCGGAATCGACTCAACGGCACTTAACAACAACAACTGAAAATCCCAGGGCTGGGGAGATAGACTGTCAAGCAAGGCCACAAAAAACAAAACATGGTTACTCAGGCCCATCCATTACTCAAATATATAGTAAACATCTATATTGTATTCCCAGCACTAACCTCAGCATTAGAGATACAAAGACGCTTAAGAAATCTTCCTGTCATTGAGAGCTGAGAAGAAAGGTATCCAGAGTTAAAGTGGATCTGAAGTGGCTCTTGGGACAAGTCTATATTGAATACATTGTTTCTATTTTCTACATCTCAACCATTTATATTAGTTCTTTATTCTCATATAATCTGCCCTTTTGATAAAGCTTTTCTCACTTTTTTCTACTTCCAGATGTCAGATAGTGTTGACTGGTTACAAAGCCAAAATGGAGTATGCAAAGTTGATGTTTATTCACCTGAAGATGGCCAGCCCCAGGTATGGAAAATGGTAAAGGTCAGACTCCTTAAAAAGACACGTTTAGAAAAATGTGGTGTACTTTGAAAATAGCTTTATTCTTTCCACCACCAATGCCCTCACTTATTTTAGAAGATGGGATTATTGAGAGGAAAAGGAATTCCCATAGAAACAAAACTTTCTATCAATTAAAAAAAAAAAATCCTTCTGGAAAGTAATATGGCACTTTCTCAGAAGGTTG